AGTTTCGTCGGAACGAAGTTACGGAAAATTAATTAACACACGGAGACGTAACAATATAATTCCTACGTTATTATCAAAACAAATACAGAGCAATACATAACATGTATTTTGGTTTTTAGTTATATTGTTGATGTAAACAAAGCAAGTGATTGTGTACCATGATAATTTTAATACGTATAAATAAAGAACTGTTGTACTAGGTCTCAGTTTTCTTTGTTCTTTGTTATTGTTGTCAAAACAACGCAAACAAAGCGAGTGTGTTATGCAACTTAACAACTGCGGCATTGTGTACTTTAGTCAGTAGTTTTTGAATTTCTAATATTGTCAGTTTCATTTTCCATTTCAATTTGCTTTTTAATAACACAATAAACTCATACGTTAAGCTAGATATCCAAACATAAAAAGTGTTTTTTTTTTTGCTTAAGAACAGAGCTGTACAAAGAGGTATCTGCGCTGTGACAACCACTGGAATCGAATCCCGAATTTTAGCGTCATAAGCCCTGAAGTTTACTGTTGAGCCGCTGGAGGACAAGGGAGAAGAAAACGTTATACATGACATAAGTTATGGCTTAGTTTAGAATTTTTCAAACAGGGGACTTCTAGATCAGTGGTTCCCAACCTTTTGTGGCCCTCGCACCCCACCCCCTAAAATGTGTGCATTAACATTTCCTCATGACGACATTTGGGGGAAAACAGACCTTGTAAAACCTCTTCCGTATACCCCCTGGGCCCTCGTTTCGCACCCCCAGGCGGTGCCAATACCCCTGGTTGGGAACCCTTGTTCTAAATATAATCCGCAAATAGCTCTTTCTAACTTTTCTCAAAAATTCTGAAATCTAAACGAGAAACCACGAGCCTACGTTCCTGGTACCTTCCTACCTTTATCACTTTTGTCAGACGCTTTCAGTTGTATTTGCTTGGCTCGCCTGAGCATGCTTGCTCTCTTCAACTCATAAAGTCGACACTCAGAACGAACCTGATCTAAGACTAGTTGCAGTTTAACCACTGAAAGAGAAACACGAAACTGAAAAGTTAAATTGATTGGGAGTTATTTAAAACTAAACTGTAGAACTCCTAAAATACAAAAACCTGTCCGAAGACAAAGCATTACTATGAAGACTAAACCCTCACTTCTCTCCTACTACTCGACTAGTTTCTCCACCTAGTGTTGGGTGCTTATTGCATAACAATTATTTTGCTATTTAAGGACCGGATGGTACAATCGAGATCAATGAAAGAATAGCAGCTTGCTTAACGTAGCATTGTAGCCTGTACCCTTGGATTTAGGTCGATTACAATCGAGGAAATGGTCACGTAAGTATAAATGGCCACAAAACTTCAAATGCTGTATGTGAATATTAATATTTTAAACGTTTATTCGGTTCTATTGGATCCACAAATAAATTATTTCTAGTTCGCATAGAAAAACATGCAAATTTGAAATATACGTCATTTTTCAGTATTAAGAATCGTGCAATGAATGAATGTAACGAACCTATATCTAAAGGACAATTTAAAATTATGTCTGAAGTGAATAATGAACCGGAAATGCGCATAAATAGAAAGTTCATTGACCAATAGAAGTTAAATGGAACAGGACAGAGAATTCCGCTAATTATGTAAGCATTTATTGTGATTTTGAATACGCTAAAAAAGGAGTTAATCATGTGACAGAAGTGAACTCATCAACATACCAAAATGGTGTTATTATTAAACGTATTATAAAGGTGTAATTATACTGGGCAACAAAATACATTTTCTTTGCTACTACAAAAAAATGCAACTGTTTCTGAGTAATTTAATGATGCCGATTCTAAAAGTCATGTTGAAAATTATTGATCACCTCTATTTTTCGAGTTCTTATAGGTTTATTCAAGATATTTTTATATATTGGAGAAATAACTTTTAAATAATTTTATTTATTCATTGAAAACTGCATTTAAGAATGTATAATCTGCATGCTTTGATAATTTTCTTTCATGTTCACAGCATGAGCAACAAGTATAGATAGTTTAGTTTTCCCATTGTGCAAATGTACAGCTTTCAGACTAACTTTAGATGAGTTGATAAAAAGTCTCCATCCTTGAAGTTGATGTTCAGTACGTAATTCTTCCATTAATGTATCAACATTTGTACAGAAACACAAAGTATCTTGCATGCTGTAGTGAGAAGAAAGACTTTGATGGCGAGTTTGGTAAAATGAAATTCTTGTTCCTGGAGCTAATAAATTCCATTGCTGTAAACGAGAGCCAAGAAGTTCCACATGTTGCTTTCATAGAGACAAGTCATGAATCAAACCATTTAGCTCTTCTTGTGTGATCAGATGAGGTAGTTTATATTGAAGTGCCACAGGAATAGCATTACCAGATGATGAGGATGAAGATGATTCATTGTCTTCTTCACAAGATAACTCTTCTGTTTCCCAACTTGCTGGTGGATGTGGCACTGGAAAGCCATCCGCATGAGATACTGGTTTCATTGCAGATACAGTAACTGGATATTTAATGTATTGTATAGTTTTGCGTGAATTTCCATAAACATTAGTCATGCAAAAATAACAGTCAGTTAAATGATCTTTGGGCTCACGACATATGAGAACTGCGAGTGGCATACTAGCTCTCTTCTTATTCAGCCACTGTGTCAAGCAAGATGTACAAACTGTACAACACACATGTGAACCCAATGTTTTTCTTGGTCACCACTTTTACACCAAAAATAGTGGTAGTAAGCTATCTGTACAATGTGTGTAATGAATAAAAACCCTATAACTGGAGCGCTTTCGAAACGTGGACCCTTCTTCTTCTTCAGGGGCAAACTGGAAATGGTATGATGAGTGTGAAGTTTTTCCTTCGTGAAACTGTAATCTATTTCCACAAATGTAGCAGAAACTGTTTGGATGGTTTTTGCACTTTTGGACTTTACTTGAACTGGAGGTTTTGTTTGTTTGTTTGGAATTATGCACAAAGCTACACAAAGGGCTATCTGTGCTTTGCCCACCACGGGTATCGAAACCCACTTTCTAGCGTTATAAGTCCGCAGACATACCGCTGTGCCACTGGGGGGGGGCGAACTGGAGGTAACCAGCATTTCAAATGATTTTTTAAAAATATAAAATAATTTATGTTTACAGAACTAGAGTTTAAAAGATTTTAAAAAATAAAATTTTGCAGAATTTGATTATATCGCGGGTATGATACGAGGAAGAAGGTCGGACTTTGTTTTGACTGTGCACAGAGCAAGGCAAAGTGACCATCTGAGTGAGTGAGAGGCAACTGAGAAAAATACGTCTGACTCCGCTCCTTTTATGCTCAGTTGAGGGACTTCTCGAATGCAGTAGCAAACTGGGCACGTGAGGGTTTCGTGATTCCCAGGCGGAGCAGATGAGCGTGAAAATGAAGCAAAAGTGGTGCAATTCGCTACACCAATACAATACAGTTAATGTTTGAAGTTATCAAAAATGAATGCCTGTTATTCATTAAACTGTTCAGGTAAATTTAATTTCACAGCATAAATATATTATAATGAGTTGATTGCATGGTATTTTACCTAGTGCTGATAAAATATTAAGATATAATAATAACCCAAAATCTAGAGGTGATTGACATTGTCTGACTACATTTTTAAAATCAGCACTATCAAATTACCCCGAATCATTTGAGATTTCTTTAGTTGTATTTTTTTTTTGTTGTTCAGTGAATTATTAGACGTATCACAACAGTAATAATTTAATATGAAAAAAATGCTCTTATCAAACGTAGCACAACAATGTACTTATTATATATCGCAATTATATTCTTATTAAACATATCGCCAAGATGCAATTATTAAACGTATCACAAGGATGTTATTATTAAATATATCACAGGGATGTTATTATTCAACGTATCACAAGGATGTTATTATTAAATATATCACAGGGATGTTATTATTCAACGTATCACAAGAAAGTTATTATTAAAGGTATCACAGGGAAGTTATTATTAAACGTATCACGGGGATGTACGAATGACAATGGCGTAATTGTGTATCACAACACTGTACTTATTAAATATCACAACAATGTTGTTATTAAACAGAAATGATGTACATATTAAACATACCATAAGAGAGAGCTTTTAAACTCTATCACAAAAGAGTACATATCAGTTATAAAAATAATCGTGCTTATTAATCATGTATTGTACTCGTGTTATAAATTAAGCTGCATCTACAGTGGCATGTTTAAGTTGCAAGACACAAGCCATCTCAACAGTGACGTTTCATTAGTGGGACAAAGAGCATCTCAATAGTGACATGTTTAAGTTGTGAGAACAGGCCATCTCAACAGTGACATGTTTAAGTTGTGAGACACAGGTCATCTCAGCAGTTACATGTTTAAGTAGTGAGACACGCCATTTCAATATTTACATGTTTAAATTGTGAGATACAAGCCATATCAACAGTTACATGTTTCAGTTGTGAGACACAGACACTCTCAACAGTTACACGTTTTAGAAGTGAGACACAAGCCATCTCAACAGTTACATGTTTCAATGTTTCAGTTGTGAGACACAATCTATCTCAACAGTGATCTGTTTTAGTTGTGAGACACAAGCTATCTCAACAGTGACCTGTTTTAGTTGTGAGACACAAGCTATCTCAGGTTATTTCTGTAAGTTACGACCTATATTGTTATCCTCATGTAAAGTGACTTGCTTTAACTCTAGATGGGCTACTTTCTCAAATCATGGTGTCTCAGTACGACGTAGAAAAATAATGATTTGGTCACAATAGTTTCAATCTATTCAATTTTACAATGACTATTCTTTTTTAAACAATATATGTTATGCTCTATATATTTTAAATATTTCTATTTTGCCACATGTAGAAGTTGTCAAATATTTCTTGCCTGGCATAGCCTGATGGCTAGAGTGATCGACTCGTAATCTACGCATAGAAGGATCAAAATCTGTCGCTGAACATGCTTGTACTTTTAATCGAGGGCGCATGATAATGTGACAGTCACTCCCACTATCCATTGGTAAAAAGCAGCCCACGAGTTAGCGATGTGTGGTGATGACTAGTTACCTTCCTTCTTGTCTATTACTGTTAAATTAGGGGTGGTTAGCGCAGATAGCCCTCATGTACCTTTGCGAGAAATTCCAAACAAACCAAACCAAACTTTTCTTGCACTTAGTAAAATGACAAGGAACAGTGGCATCCAGCGGCAAAACTCCCAGCGGCTACTTAGCGAACCCGAGTGCTCTATTGTGCTGGATGCACATATTGTATCCAAAACCAAATATTTTTGCCAACAGTGCACTGCAGTCAACTTCCTTTGCTTAAAAAAACAAACTATTTTCCTTATTGAAGTAACACATAGAATGACAAAATACGGTTGTAAATGACCCCTAGACAATCATATCGCATATATGCTATGATCCAAGGTATTGGATTGACTGCACATTTTTTAGTTATTCATCACTATTTTAGAAAATTTCTCGTTGAATTGTTTAAACGGGCATCTACTAGTATGGTGTAATCTGAACAAAAAACAAACAAACTTACCCAACAAATAATGGTATTACACAGTATATTGACAACTACGGCTTTTTAAAGATAAATGGCGTCATTCGTCATAAGATTTGTGTCAATAATTTGTAACAAGAGTTCGTGTAGAATCCAAGCTGTAATTAAAACCAAAACTGAGCCAACTGTCTATTAGAATAAGATACCAGCAATGAAACGTGTACACCTGGTTTCTTAGGGTGTGTTCCATTGCTTTTGGAAAACTTGGTGTATACATTAAAGTCAATCTAAATACATATACAGAATGGGTCATAGGTAAGTTTAAATACATTCAAAATTTGCAAATCTTGATGCATCATCTAATAAGAAAATTATTGTTCTGTTATCTAACGTTAAGAACTGTGCCAATCACGAAGGCAAACACTATGAATATTTTTTTTAAGAAAGGAAATATTCTTATAAAATAATAAAATGTGTCAATTAACCTTCGCGTGAGATTGTAGTAATAACACACTGCATATTGTATTGCATGTCAGATTGATTAAACCATTGGTTTATTAATTGGATAAATTTAATAAAATAGATAAAAATTACACTTCATCAACGTAATTTAGTTCACACCATAACAGTTGTTGTTCGAGAAATTTCATGATATA